AATTCCTCGGAGGATATTTTACACGGATAATACAGGCTGGCTTCGGTGTCGACTTCGATCGGTTCACGCTAAAAAGTCGGATGAAACGAGCGTATCCTTGACAATGTGCGCTGAATATTCGGGTCACATATCCTCGATCAGACTTCCTCCGCCGGTGGAACACACGCACACGCGCGAGACCAAAGAGGAGAGCATGTAAGACCGATTAGACAGGATCTACAAACGTGTTCGACGAATTATAACGATTTAAAGTGGGACATGTGCCTATACGTCCTATACGTTTCCCTCCTTCTCCTTTCGTCCAATTGGGAATAAGGGAGTACGACCCTTCAGGGAAACAGCTGTTGAGCGATGATGAGAAAAGGACGGAGGTCGGGATTCGGAGAATGATGGCGGAGGAGAGGGCAGACAGAGTGAAAAAAGAGGTTACCACCTGGCTTACCTGGCTTGTGCTTACCTGAAAACCGTATACCTGCCCGGGCATTCTTTTGTGCGGGGCCCGGGGCACGCACCCATTCCCAGACGACATCCTACAAAACTACACCAAGCTACTGTCGTCGTGTCGCTGAGAAAGACGTTTCGAGAATATAGCTAGAAGATGTCCTTGATATCGTGCATGCGTAGTATCAAGGTGCTTGTTCTTGCACCGTCGATGTCACTGACTTTCGCGTCCTGTGACGTCCACTTTCGAGTTAAGGTCATTGGTAACATAATTGAACCATTCTATTCTTCGTCGAATTCAAGTTCGACCAGTCCGCTACTGATTTACAAGCAGTAGTCGAGAATGTTAGAGTTGAAAATACGTCCTGGTTTTTTCTTTTCTTCTTTTTTTTGTACGTATCATCGTCGTAGCGATGCAGAGTGGAAAGAAGTTTTATACGAGGTAAAAATGTCGCGTGCTTGTATAATTTGATGCCTGGCTAATGGACACGATTGATGCATTAAGAGAACATATGGCTCGGTTACACGCGTGTTCCTACTTTTTCTCGCGCGAAACCGCTCGCTTCAAGGATCATTTCATGCGGCCTCATTTCCGGTCCGTGCTAAGACAGATGCAGTTTCATTCCCGTCAACAATGTCGAACCACATTCCGAGGAATCGATGGATTCTCGCTGGCCGTCCCTTCTCGATTTTCTGACTACGCCGAAAATTTGGCCAGATGGCGAATGACCATGGTACTCGGTATATAAATATTATCATAAATATTATCATCAGCTCGTAACGAAAATTTAATGACAACACTGCTGATTCACTCGCTGAATTCTTCTCTTAATCGTTGAACACAAAGTTTTATTGCTGTTTTGAATTTGTTTTCTCAGAATTACAGACAAACGAGAAAGCAGTGATTGTTATTTGTTTTGAAAATTATTCGGTCGTACTTCTAACTATTACTATAGCTGACTAATTCGTAAATTATTTTATTTTTCTATTACTTAAATATGTAATAGTGAATTATTTTTTCTTTATAAAACATTTATTATAAAAATCAGGATGACATAATTTATAACGAACTTAGGACTAGGGTGAGAGAATTAATATAAATAGAATCTAAAAGAATTGTACAATTTATATAGGAATAGATCGTAAAGCGTCTTGTAGCTTTTTCCTTGCTAAAGCAACTCGATCCTCTTGCCTCTTGATGTCTTCGTCAGCTATCGAGACGGCCTGAAACAAAAAAGAAATTAATTTATCGATTATATTTCGACGATAGTTATGCTAAATGTTTGATTTAAAAATTCTCTATTGTTTTCGTCGATATACCCTTTCAAACCTCCAGTACATAATTATTTACATTCCGTAATAGGGTGTTTGATCAGGATGTTTGGTTAAGTGTATGTAACACGTAACGCAAGTTGAGTTTAATATAAGCACCCTATTTGGTATCTAAATATCTATTCTACCTGTACGAGGGGTTGATCGGGATTAAGAAATACCCCGGGATTTTTCTCTAAAGCTGTCTTCGAACCCGTTTGTCCCGTGACTGGTTGAGACGAAACATGTAATGCAGTTGCAACACTTTGAAGCAAAGTTTCTTCCGTAATATACGGACCAACTGGCTTCAAACTTTTTGGTAAATCCATTCCATCGAATTCAAATCCATCTGGATCGCATGCTCTTAAACCTTCCAAACGTTTTTCCCAAAATAACTGTAAAATTGAAAAGAATACTTATATATAATTGATCATATTTATATGAAATAATATGTATTATTTTATACGAGACAACGAAATAACGAAATAATAAACTGACACACATAAAAAATCTAATAAAGAAAAATACTCTAATCACAAAAGCAAAATATATTTGCTGAAATATATGAAATAAAGAAAATTATATTTTTTAATTGCCTGTACTATATATTTTGGCCAGTAAAACATGAAAAATATGTAGAGTAGAAAATTAAATAATAATTCATATAATACGTTTAAAAAATGTGTCTTATGAATCTGATTTTTATAAAACATTCAGATAACAAAAAATTTTCTAAAAAAAACATGCACTATGCAACTGTTTGTAAAGAAATTGACAATTATGAATATCTATTTATAAATATATTGTATTCAAATGATAGAAAGAAACATACAATAATTATTGATTCCACAAGCACATCGAACAATATATTACCTGTTTAGGCTTATCTTGGGAGCCATATTTGCCATCAATTTTATCGGCTCCTTCCTAAACGAATGATTTGATGATTGAACCACAAGAATTTAGGGGGAATATTAAATACCATAATAAAATTACAAATTATAACTTGATCACACAATCAAAGATCTTGGGACATTACATTTATGTTTAAAAGGATATGATATATTACAAATGAATTTTATATACATTATGAACATTGAATGGGATAATGAATAAGACATAAAATCTTAAAATTGACAAATTTTTCTCTTTTTAATAAAAAAAATATTACGATTAAAGAATGTCGGGAAAAAACATGGCGTAATACTTTGACTATTTAATACGTATATGTACATAAGAAAAATAAGTAATAATAAAAATAGATATAATAAATACTAACTTGTTTGGGTTTTTCTTGATTTCCATGTTTAATATCTTTTACTTTTCCTTCCTGCGTCTTATAAATAGTTACTGGTTGTTTAAATATAGATGCGGTTTGTCTTATCGGTGGTACCAACGATGCATCATTTCTGACTCCACGACTAAAAAATAGGTATAGTATATCATAAATATATATAAGGTTAGAATAAGCAATAGTAAATGTTCGTACATCATTGTAATCGACATAAAATATATATAGGTTTTTGTCAATTCTTATATACTATACATATACTATACATATACAATATATATATATCATTGTAATATAATGTTTTAAATAAATGTTTAAAATATGGAACGTACCTGTAATAATAAACGTCAACTTTTCCAGTAGATGACAATTGATTTTGGCTTTTTCTCGAAGCCTCTTCTCTGGACGGCCAATTTGTTGGCAGTGCCGATGGATATTTCTTTTTTTCCACTGACATATTCATTTTGCAGAATTGTTTATTTCAATATATTTGCACGTTCTTTGAAACTATTTAAATAATTAACGACCGGGAACATGAGCCAGCTACCGGTGGCCATATTGATGCGTTCCGCTAAATTCGAGTAGGTTAGTGCAGATCAGTTCGAATAATTATCTACATGGTGGCGGTACTATCTATACCCTGTTATTGAACCATCATTTTAATATTTATTAAGATTAATATGATAATTTGTATTATATGTAAATTAAAAAATATGATTTATGCTATATTTTTTTTTATTAAGATAACGTTATTCATGAATAAGAAAAAATTGAATTACACAAATATTTTTTTCCTATTATACCACCTAGCGGTGAGTATAGTAATAAGTAATTTTAAACTATACAATTAATGGACATCGACGAGCCATCTAGCGGTGAATAATATAAGTAATTTTAAATTCTACAAACGGAATCGACGAGCCATCTAGCGGTGAATAATACAAGTAATTTTAAACTCTACAAATGGACATCGACGAGCCATCTAGCGGCGAATAATATAAGTAATTTTAAATTCTATAAACGGAATCGACGAGCCATCTAGCGGTGAATAATACAAGTAATTTTAAACTCTACAAATGGACATCGACGAGCCATCTAGCGGTGAGTATAGTAATAATAAGTAATTTTAAACTCTACAAACGGACATCGACGAGCCATCTAGCGGTGAATAATATAAGTAATTTTAAATTCTACAAATGGATATTGACGAGCCATCTAGCGGTAAGTATAGTAATAATAAGTAATTTTAAACTCTACAAACGGACATCGACGAGCCATCTAGCGGTGAATAAATAAAACTAATAAATTTTTCTGACATTCAATAAATTTTTTGTTTTATACTTAGAATTTGGTTATATTTATATAGAAATTAAATAAAATAAATTCTATTAAAGTATTTTAATCAATAAATAAAATTAATTAAATATCAAACATTTATATACACTGATTTCTTAAGCATATAAATTTTACAGAGTATATAGACAAAGAACAAGAATAAGTGGAAGAAGGATAGAGATAGGATAAAAATATTGAAATCAGCATCATTTCTAGAATGTTGCAAATGAAATACAAAAAGAAAGGATAGAAGATAGTAGAAAAGGATAGAATATATAGTTAAACTGTACTAGTGTCGCCATCTTTTGAGTATTAAAAGAATCTATTTAAAAATTTAATCAAGAGATGGCGCTAACGTTCACTTTTTGTTACTTTGTTCGATCTTTAGAGATGCTTTTAGTACTCAAGAGATGGCACCACATGTTCTATTTGTCCATATTTATTCTACAAAATGCGTTCAGCCATATTGTGAAATTTGAATCTTGAAACCGACTTTGTTAGTTCCTTCGCACATGTTTTTTTCGATATATTTGTGATAAAAGTGAATTTCTTATCTTCGAAAGTGAATTTTTCGATTCAAGGAAAGTGGATGTGTCAATGGTAATTAATAAAACTTTATAAGTATATAGATATAGATGATTTAATTGTCGAAAGAAACAATTTTCGCGTAGCTATAGGAACAACATGAACTGTGCTTGGAAAGGATTAACACTTGTCTTTTGCTTTTTCTTTTTTCACTTCTTCTTCTGGCTGGAAACGCATATTTCTAATCGCTTTCGTACACACGGAGTGCAAATTGCGAGCACGGAGACACAATTCAATGAAACGCGGGACAGAAAATTTGTTTTTTTACTTTATATAGCGAATGTTGAATCACGATTTCGCTGTTCTTCCTAACCTGCATCTGTGTGTATGCAATTGTATGTGGGTATGCGTAATTATTTACTGTAAAAGAATATTGATTCTGTACAAGTTAATCGTTAAAGAGATAATTAACTATTGAGTCTTCTTGAGGTATCGTTGTTTCTATTGGTCTATCATCGGAGCTGTGCTCGTCGAAAATCTATCTGTTTTCTCGCACATTTTCTTCCATCTTTATTTTTCTATTTTCTATTTTGTCCCTCTATCGCGACACGTAATTCGTATTAGTTTTTTTCTTCTTATTTCTTTTTTTTTTTTAATATTTTCTTTTTTTTTTATACTTTTTTTTTTCTATTTCTTATTGATTCGGCAGTATACAGCGTCGATTCTACGACGATCACAGCAAATGTAAAACGTGTGGTTGTCTTCCTGTAACAAAATATAAATCTCCATTATGCATTCCCTGCTTTTACCATTTTAAAATCCGAATAATAACGCGAATAATAACCTATAGTACCCTATTAATTTCACATGCCTGGTAGGCATCCAAGAAATCGTTAACCGCGTGTACTTGGCGCAAATTTATCTTTTTGTTCAAGATATATAAATTCAATCGCAAGGTACGTGTGTCTCGCATCGATCAAGTCGCTAACAAATTAAACCTAAGGGATCGTCACAAAAATATTTTTCGCACGAAAATCTCGCAGAATAAACGTGCTTGGGAGCGTAAGTGGCCCGTGTGCTTCTATTCGTGGAATAATAGCGTTGATGCCTCGTTGATGTGGCAGTAACGGTAACGCAATCGTAATGCTTCTCTACAATTCAGGTTTCAATACTTCAATCGATTTCCTCATTGGATACAATTTTAATTTCGTTACGTGTGGGATACAGGCGAAACTAGCGTTTCCTCGCGAATGGTACAATACGTAAAAACGTACATCGCATATAGTCCGCAACATTGTCAGATCAGAGATTCAAATTCATCGTAAATCAATAATATAAGATAAAAATAGATCATCATAAATACATCTCTATTTAGTATTTAGTTCGTCGCTCGTCGAACATATACACAATGATTCATTTCATTTCGATTCATCGTATAATAAAATTTTCAATTGTAAAATATAAATAGATTGATTCATCTCGTTAACTATATTTCGATCTTCGTTTAGGATCGGCCACGAACAAGATACGATGTACCATAAACTTGTGCCTCGTAAAGGATTATTTTTTTTTGGCGATACCAATTACGGTGCGTCAGAAAAAAATCTTCAAATCTCTTTTCGTCTGCTCTAAGCGCTCCGTTTTCTTTTGCTACAAAAAATTAGTCGAGAGATCATCATCATATCCATACCTATTGTCTTCCTATCTTAACCTTCTTTTTCGTGCCTTTCACAATTTCTCACAGTTACCGCAGAACATATAGTTACGAGTGGTAGCTGCATATACCGACATACAGAATAGCAACGAAAAAACGAAAAAAAAATTCGTAACTGAAACTTCTATACGAGTACAAATTTTCGGAATATGAGTTACTTTTTTTTTTCTTTTTTTATCTTTTTTTTCTCTCTCTCTCTCTCTTTTTTATACTCTTTCTCGTAATGGAAATATTCGAGGGTCACACGAAAAAAACCCCATTTTCCTTTACACAATCTTAGCACGATCAAAATTACATCGGTTCGATATAGACCTACATTTTTCTCTATCCTCGAATTAAAACATTCTTGCTTCTATATGTTGTGTGTTCGATTACATTACGTAGAATTTTGCAACACGACACACACATTTCTACTTCGACAGGTCTACATGTTAGATCGTGTACGCACAATCTCTCCTCTCTCTCTCTCTCTCTCTCTCTCTCTCTCTCTCTCTCTCTCTCTCTCTCTCTTTCTCTCTCTCTCAAACATCTCAATTCGCTCTTTCGTCGATCATATAGTAAAGCACGAGAACATCACGCGCGGTGAAAATAATATTTCGCCTTGCATCTCTCTCACAATCGTACGTAATGAATAGTTTTTGTCGTAAAACTCTATATTACATTAGTAACATATTACACAAGCGACTTCCTGTCAAAGAAGTCGAACACAATCGCGGATCACATAATTATCCGAGCGAATGTATATACGTTATCACGTATAGTCTCATTCATAATTGTCTTCTTGGCCTATTTATAACCATATGTTTTATACAATCTTAAATAACTAAAATGTTCTGCCACCTTATATATATATATATATATATATAATATAACTTCAGTTCGCAGCTTCTTCATCTCTGTTCTTTTTCTTCCTCGTGTGCAATACGAGAGCCGCTGCGCGTGATTCAAATTTAACAAATATAACACACGCTAACGTGTATGTATGTATGTATATATGTATGTATGTATGTATGTATGTATGTGTGTACATATATATATATATATATATATATATATCACTCGTTTCACAAAAGTTCCCCTCCTCAACATACTTTATCAGAGTTTCAATTTAATCTTTGATGGGTATTCTTGGAACAGAACCCTCTTATTTCTCATACGAACTAATGTAAAAGCGTAGTACACTCGACGATGTTCCAGTGTCTCAATGTCGCATCGATCATGTAACTGTTCAGTATATCACTTCGTACACTGTAGCTTTCTTATCACCTGATCCAGTCACAATATACTTGTCGTCTGTAGAAATATCGCAGCTGAGCACCGACGAAGATTCCTTCGACTGTAACAAGATGAAATTATTTTGTTAGATACCAAACGCATTAAGAAAAAATATTATCAGATTATTTTCTTGAATATTATATCTAATAAAATATGAATCGAAAACGAAATTGATGAAGTTATACATGTTTCATATAAGATAAGATACTTAAACACACTTTTTCCTTGACTTAATAATAATAATAATAATAATAATAATAATAATAATAATAATATTCATTGCCAGTATACAAAAGAAACCTCACTGTACAACATCATAATCCATTTATTATCCAGAGCAGGATGGATACAAACTTCACCTGGAATATCGAGGCACCGTATGGCGTACGCCACGCGTTTAGCAAATTGTCCTTGCCAGTTGAGACGAACCATTTGCCGCAGGTAGCGAAACGTAACGAAAGTACACAAGATTCGTGCAAATGAAGCTGATATTTGTCCGGTTTCGTGGCGTGCAACACCTCAACGTTTGAGTTCTCCATTCCCACTGCCAACCACTCGCCGGTAGGGCAGTAGCCCAGCGAGAATATCTGAGAAGTGAAGTCATGCTGTTGTAACTGCCTTCCTTCCCTCAGATCCCAAGAGCGGACCGTGTTGTCCAATCCGCCGGTCCACAATTTCGAGCCGTCTGCAGAGATGTCGATGCACGAGGCGCCGTCCGTGTGACCTTGGAATTGTCTGAGCAGAGATTGATTCTGTATATCCCAGACGGCGATGTTCCCGTCGCTGCAACAGCTGAAGCAGACTTTCGAGTCGGGGGAGATGGCCAAAGCGTAACAAGCTGGCGCGTTCGAAGTCAACTCCGCTTTGATCCTTGGTGTTGGACTCGCCAAGTCCCAGATACTGAGGTTACTCGCTTCACCGCCTACGATTAAGGTTCTCCCATCTGGTAATAGTTTCACCGATCTGTAACGAGAATTAAAATATTAGTTTGTGCTAACATTTTATTTTATTTTATTTTTTTTTCCCTTTCTTTTTAGGTTATATTGGATAGATTCGACTCGTTAATTGCTACGTGACAACGAATGTTCCATGCAAGCTGTTAACGTTTCCCGAGGATATAAAATAAATGATGGGAGCCGACCGATCGATGCCGTCACCCAGCTTTGAATGAAATATCACGATGGAAAGCGATGCGGTTATAGGATGTGTTAATAGTTTAAGTGCGTTCGAAATATGGATGGATACATAGAGGCCAAGTTAACCCACCACGGGGTCTGCCAAAGATTAGAAATTTAATATCAGCTTTCGCGCGAATGTAAACACGAAACATTTTGAAAACCCCTTTAAAATTCCACGTACCGTTAAAACCGTTGGACCAACGTCGGTTCCAAATGTTATAGATAGTTTTGAACAGGCGAATAGATATCGAGTAGTAAGGATGTTAACCGGTTACAATGTTTTCAATACCCGATGATATCGATCACCGATGTCTAACATGGCGGTAAACCCGTTCAAGTCCCCCCGATACGTTCAATTTTGAAGCAATCAACGCTCTCAAAGCCGAGATAAGGGGCCACTGACACCGTTTCAAACTACCTTGTAGCTACCCGCGCTTAACTAGACCCGATATATCCCGAAATTACACGTATCAACGGTTGGTAAGTAAACGAGACCGCAATGGCGTTGCCTAATCGGAATTTATTCAGCGGCGGATCTCCCGCGTTTGCCAGACGGCGTGTAAAGTTAATGCGACGCAGCGCGAAACGTAACGTTTAACCAACCTGATGTAGTTGTCTCGTTGCAAGCAATCAAGCTGCGAAACGTGTTTCGCGCTACCGCTCCCGCCCTGATTGATGTCCCAGACCTTGACGCATCCTTTGCCACCGGTGTAAACGTATTTAGTCGGATTCGAGATCGTCACCGCGCACACCACCTCCCCGTGTGTCAGGGTATTTATCTGGCGTGCATGTCGCGGTATTCCTTGTCCAATTAGAGCGTCGTGAGGGAATGGAACCGGCTGCATCTGGCCCTCGCTCGACACGTGGAAACTGTACGCGCTGCGGAACAAAGCAATTTGTTAATTCGTTCATTCCTCTCTTTCTTTTTTAATTAAATTCGTTCGTGGATGGAAAGGAAGGAGAGGGTTTGTAATAATATTCCTGTTGAGATACCGAATAAAGATTATATTTATTTTTAAAACTCTCTTCACTCAAGATAATTCGATGATCCATTTAAGATCGATTAAAAGATGGTTCGAATCAATTTTCGAAAATATTTTCTCTTTATCGAATTACCTCTCTTACGGTTCGGTTATCGGTATTGAGAATCAACGTGCGAACGCACGAAAGGAAGGGATTGCCGAGAAAAGCGCTTACGGTTTGCCACCGGGTACACCGAGAGGTCCAAGAGGAGCCCTCATGCTTCCGTGAGGATCGTAGAGCTGCTGAAGAGGCGGTCTTGCGGGATATCCATTCAGGGCTGGGGGATAACCCAGCACGTCCACGTGAGGTCCTGCGGGTGGATGATGTGGCGGCGGATAGTGTGGCGGATAAGGGCCGACCGCCGAAGCCGAGACCAGTGGTTTGCTGGAACTCGATGGTTTCAGACCACCGGACCCGGAGCTGCTACCACCTGTCGACCATACATTCATCCTCAGATACTTGCCCAAGTATTTTCCATCATCGTAATTGATACGGAAATGTATTATTGCCCGCGCACGCGCATACATACACACCGAGGCGCTCTATGCAAAGGAGAACGAAATCCATCCCACCAGAACGTTTACCTTCTGAATTTTTTAATATAAGCGAACCAAGCAAGTAAGTAAGTAATATCACTAATTGCTGTCTAATATTTGACGTGCTAATATTTGAACACGTAAGATTTCTGTTTCTCATTAACAATATGAGAATAAATTCTCACACCGTTAGTCCTGTTAAAGTTGCTCATTTAAAATGACCAAGTTATAATACACGAACGAATGGAACAATGTTTCAAGGATATATATTATACTGATTGAATATTTTTCCTTTTTTTCTTTCAAGAAATATAAATAGATCCTTCCTCTCTCTCTCTCTTTTCGCTTCGAATATATATATATATATATTGCAAACTGGAGGATAAATAAGGAAAAGAGGGGCGACAACATACCAGCTGATGTGGGCGTGACGGGTTTCGAGATAGGCGTAGTCGGTTTTTCTCGTTCTTCCATCTTCTTAGCCGAGGGTGTGCTCGCGTTGCTGCTCGTGCCGCTTCTCGGCGATGGTGGCGGGACTTCTTTCTTCACCTGGCTGCTCAAAGGCACCGAGGAAGGGCCGAGTTTGTCAAGCCCGTTCTCTCTTGGCGACGCTGTGCCATTCGCCGTAGGGCTCGTCGGCCCCTCGCTGGCGTCGTCAACCACCAAGTCCTGGTCGCTCTTTTCACCATCGCTTTGCTATCGGGGAAAACGTGCACGGCTTTATTAAAGGTATACCATCGGCGGCGGGGCATGGAGAACCATCCTGGATACCTACATGGCCTATATCCTTATCCTGTTCTTTCTTCATCTTCTTGAGTGGAAGGTGGTCGTGGTGTTGGGGGTCGGTCGATCGCGGCCTGCTATACTTCTCGCGTTCCGCGGGTGATATCGAACTTCTCTGTAACGAGAGGAATGATGGTTGAAAGAACGAAAGAAACGAGAATATTATATTTACGTTTAGTTGTTTTTTAATTCTATTTTATCAATTTGAAACGAATGTAAATGTTTCTAACCCTTTGCTCTCCAACGGTGAGTTAATGCCGTAACTCCAGCGGCGACAATATTTATTTATGTTTGATCTTTTTAGAATATCGCTTTATAAATAGATTCCTAAGCTCTTTATATGTAATCTTATGAGTTGTAATCTTATCTTATGAGTAATTAGATGGTTATGAGACCATCTAACGCACCAAACGTACCGATCTGAGTGTTGGAGTTGCTGGTTCGAGCCTGAAGTGCAGTGTTAAATCTATTTATAAATTTTGGAAAGTTCCTTTTGGTCAAAAGGATCAATCAAAAACGTGTCAAGAATATTTCGAAAAGCGTTTGATTTTCTCCTTTTATTTCCTAATCTTTTGAATTTAAAAAAAATTCTTTTTATTCGAATTTGTGACGATCTATGAATATTGAAACACATATTGGAAGTTTGATAATTTAAAACGAAACGAACTCGTATTGATCACGAATCGAAGACACGTGTTAAATTATCGCCCTCCCCCCTTCCCCAAGATCTTTAAATGACCTCAAGTGGCATTCAACGTGATCTCGATGACCCCCATCACTTAAGCGACCTTAACTGTTAATGTCACGATCTCGATGGCCTCGTGTAATCTTCGAATAACATTGACCGAAGCAATGCCACGATCTAAATGATCCTCTCTCATGACCGTGGCCATCAATTTTATAACCTCAATAACCTAGGCACAATTTTCTAAGGATTGGATTAAAGTTTTAAATAATCGGCATCAGACGAGATACATTGGTCCGTTCGCCGTGTCACGAACGCCGCTTACACGTTTCCATTCGAATATTTATATAAATAAATATAACGGGGAGAAGATCGATCCGCGTAGCCAAATAGCCAAAAGTAAATATTTTCCATCTGCCGTCCCGTTTCGTGCCAAACAATTTTTTTCCGTGTCATCAATCGGTTATCAGGTATACATAAACGTTATACGCAAACGTTACACGACACGACACGAAAGATACGACAGTCGTAATACGTAAGTCGCGTTGGAATATCCAAGCCTGGATGCTCGTTCACGGAGGAGTGGAAAAGACGGGGAAAAAGCCGTAAAACGAGCGACGACGAGATCTATCTATATGGGAAAAGTCGTTCCAGGATTGTATACAATCCGCTCTCGGTTAATGCGATCTCATCAATCCCGTCCAAGCTTTCCAATACGAGAGAGAGATTCTTCGTTTCGGGCGGACGACGAGAAACGAATCACGAAACCGTCGAACCGTTTAAACAGTGTCTCGCGATTAAATAAAATATTTGCCCGTCGATGTACCACCGGAGGAGCAATTGAATTACCTCGCCCCATCCGACCAATCTCCTGTTTCTTTTTGCTTTTGTGGAAAAGAGATGGAAGAGGAAATAATAATGGCGAGAAATCGTGGACTCGGTCGAGAGCGATAAAAATTTAGGCGATAAAGATTTCTTCATTCGCTTAGAGAGATGGGATAAGTCCAAAAAAGAAAGGAAGAAGGAAGAAGGAAAAAGGAACGTTGCGAAATTTCCGATTGATAATAAATTTATAAATGATAAAGGCTCGATATACCATCTCGATGGCCAATAAATCTTCGGATATTTGTTTTCTTTTTCACGGAGAATAATTCGGGGTTAATTGATTAATCGAGTATCAATTAAATTTTAATCAACACTATTTTGACGTGGATTCGAGGATGGACAATGTTAAAAGTGGAAATCAGAACCTTAATGAATAATTGAAATTGTGTATTTATTATACGCGATAGAAAACAATACAGCGAATCGTTGTAATAACATTGAATTATGAGAAATTTGTTAATTATTGTTCAACAATAACGACGACGAGAAACTGTAGTTATAGTTCTATCAATAACATAACATCTGTTAAACGGAATCCTCCTGTTCACGATATCTATACATCGTTACGTTGAAACGATATTACAATTATCAAAACAATCGTTAAAATAATTTCTCAACTCTCCAACTCTCTCTTCTTTTTCAACCCCATTTTCGCGATAAACGGAATGGAGCAGAGTGTACGATTTAAATAAATTTCATTCTCCTATATCGCCCCATATGTACTATTAATTCTCGGCCATCTTCTCCTTTCCATGGACCGTGTGAGAGAGGGTGGCGCGCGTCAATGCCACCCCGAAAACGGAGTCGTCACTCGAAAACGGAGCTCTCAATACGACCAATAGACAGATAACCGAAAAAGGTCCCGAAAGGCGTGGAAGATATTATCGGGAGGAAGTTTTACGAGCGACAGTTTTGTCGTCGACACGGTCGACGTATCTCTTCCTCCCTCCTCACTTCTCCTCCCTCTCTCCACCCTCCCACGCGAAGCGGCCGTGAGCCTTTTTCCTGTCCCCGATAACTTCCCTGTCCCCCAACCCGTAAACTACCCTCCTCTCTCGACCCCGAAGTAAATCTCCTCTTCTCAATTACCCTTCGCCTCTCATCCACTGCCACCTCCTCCTCGCCTCGGTCCATTACCCCCGAGCTTCCCCCGTATCATCCCCCTTTCTCGAGGACCTCGTGCGTCGAGGCTGCGAAAGGAAATGAAATAGTGGTGAGACTACTATACGCCACGTGATTTAGGGACCGCACACCCGCCTGGTCGGTGTTGTCCTCTTCTCCAGGAATTTGCGGGTAATTATACGAGTAGGAGAGATGATGCGAAGGGAAATGAAATTAGGTTCGAAGGATTATTATTATTATTATTATTATCATCATTCTGATGCTAAGCTTCGAAGCTTTCTAACTTTTGTAATTTATCGTCTGTTCTCTTTCACAATCGATCATTTCCTTTTTATTACCAATTGAAAGATGTTGAAGATTATGTTAAGTTATTGAGTGAAGAGAAGAATGTATGTAATAAAATTAGGAGAAACAGGATAATAGCAATAGTTTTTCGTAAATTAGAGAATCAAGCGAATTTTTATTACTCGAAGTTACAGGTGTGTTACGTGACACAGAGACAGAGATCAAAATTTTGACAGGTGAACAACACGAATTTCAAAGATAATAAAAGAGAGATAGTAGAGATAGGACAAGAGACCAAGACTGGCCAGTGGTCGTCGGTTCGCGCGATAAAAAAAGCTGGAGGAGTTGGAGGGGGGCGAATTCCTCGGAAAGATGCAAGAAAACACGGTCATCGTGGAACGACTTCTCAAACAGAAGGAATCCCCCGAGGAGCCGTATTATGTGGATATCTCGCTCGACTTTTCTGGAACGAGAGGAGCTGAGGCGGGATCCGTTTCCACTCTCGCGGGGGCAAAACGAGAATACCGGTGTGCCGTCTCCTCGTTACCTGGTAATGGCCAGTCACTATTTATCCGGCCAGCAGCCACGAGAATCGGTTCTGGTTACAACTGTCGTGTTCCTGGAAAGGAAAGCCTCGTCGAAACCGGCAGTACGTATGTATATATATATATATATATATATATATGTATACTCTTCCTTTTTCCGAATAAATCGACTCGTGAAAGAAAACATACGGGATGGAGGGAGGAGAGAGAGAGAGAGAGGACTTCGATATTTCCAAGAAACGATTCCTCGAAAGAAAAACAGCAAAACACGAAAAAGAAGATACAGAGAGAGATAGAGGGAGAGAGGCGAGGCATTATCATAAAAATGCGAGAAATCTCGAAGATCTTGGATTTACGTTCGTAGGAACGAAGATGATTAGCCCGGGGATAAAGGGAAGCCCACGTATGAATCGTCGTGGTACCAAAGTTTCGACGTGTCGTAGAATTTTTATATATCTCGACTTTTGCCCCCCTCCCTCCCTCTCTCCATCCTTGGGAAAGCCAAGTTCAGTTATTTTATCTTTCAGCGGGTCGCCTCGATCTCGCATGTTGCTCCAACACCTTCCCGCTTATTTATATTTTATCACGCGTGTTTTCCTTTATCAGACACGTATCGTACACGTACTCCCGCTTTTTCCCCGCCGGAACAATACGTTCGATTCGCCGCCGGTGTATTCAACACCCTTATCTTCTACCCCCGTACGGCGCGAACGCATCGTTTTCCTTCTCGCCGTTGAAATACCGAAAGCACTCGATGGCTCCTCTCACAAGGAGGAGAAGGAGGAGAGAGAGAGAGAGAGCTTCTTCTTCTTCTTCTTCTCCCCATCCCCTCGTTTCTCACTTTTGCCTACGATATCGGCGCAAGCGAAAAGGGAGCGGTGTATATTGGAGTACACACGTATTGAAGGGAGTGTACACGAGCGGACCAATGTTCGTTCACGTAAGTTTACTTACACCTAGCCCCGTCGGGATCGTACCGCCGGCACCAGCCTTTCCGGCAAAGAGGGTTCGCGCCACGATCAATATGGGGGTCCGCGTACCTCTCAAACGGGTGGGTTGAAAAGGAGAGTGAGAGGAGGAAAGGCGGAGGGGAGGGGAGGGGAGGAGGGGACGTTGGGTACACCGTGGATATATAGACTTTGTAGTGTTAGGGACGACTTGGTCCGCCGGCAGGCAACTTGGCAAGCGGCAGCCAACGCGGCAGAAGCGGCGAGCCAGCCAGGCATCGAGAGAACGTGGTGTAACGTGAGAGAGGGAGAGAGAGAGGAACAGGGACGATGTGGTGGCAGTTGGTGAAAGTGGAGGAGGGAGATGGAGAAGGAAAAGGAGAATGGAGGGAGAGAGAAGGGAGAGAGGAGTGTCGTGGTGGTGTGTGCGCGGTATTGGGGTTGGTGGTCGGAGCCATGAGGGTGGTAAGTGAGTGAGCGACTCCTTCACCACGACGCCTCGTCTCTCAGCCCAACTACCGTCACCCACACCACCCGTAGAACCCCAGACCCCGACCTTACGGATATATCCCAAGCCACCGACTACCGCCTCATCCTCCCTCGGCCTCTCCTGCACTTCCTTCCTCCTTCCTTCCTCCCTCCCTCG